TTTGTGTTCATCTCTCTCATACCTATACCACAGCCAATCCTCAGTTTGAAATCCAGTTCCAGTTGGCTCGCCTAGAACAAGGCGATCTGGATGTTACGTCGTATTATAATGCGGCACAATTATTATGGACCGAAGAAGATTTGTTGACAGCGCAACTGAGTTCCAATTCGGCTTCCGCTGATGTGCTTCAAGATCGGCAGCGCACTCGTCTAATGCAGCTCTTAAGTCGCCTGAAGCCCAATTTTGAGTCCGTGCGAGCTAATTTGCTGCAACGTGACAGTATGAAAACCCTGCTCCGGATGCAAGCTCAGCTGGATCTTCGTCCCGGAGCAGGCGAAGTTGTGTTCGCGGTGACGGGTCAGAAGGGCGCTGGCGGTTCCTCTCACCGGAGCGCTCCTGATATGGTGGAAAGAGACGAGGCCTTTGCTGTGGGTCGTTCTCCTTTTCAGCGTCGCATATCCGAGGTGATTTGTCATCATTGTCGTCAAGCGGGACATTTACTGAAGTTCTGCAAACAACGCAACTTTTGCGTGTACTGCAAAAAGAAGGGGCACATCATCACTGATTGCCGATTGATTCAACCTCGTTTGGTTGGAGGATCGACCAGTCACGCAGCTCCTCCCATTGGTGGTGCTTATGCTACACAGCCTGCGGTTGTGCCAACTCCAACTCCGGGTTCGTACATGACTGCGGAAGCCGTTGAGCAGCTCGTACACTCTGCGCTTCAACGTTCGCTGCCCACTGCCATCACCAGTGCCTTTGCTACTCTTCATGATGCTGGTATGTCCCCTCCTTAGTTGTTGGATTTGGCATGTTTTAACCATATGCCGGGTGATTCTAAAAATTTTAAGAAGTTAAATTCAGCCGAATCTCGTTCTATACAAGTTGCCAATGGACAACGTTTGCCTATTAAGGGTGTTGCTGATGTAGTTGAATCCCATATGACATTATCTCGTACTTTGTGTTCCGAATCTTGTGCCTAACCTTGTTTCTGTTGGCCTACTGACTGAGCAAAATTGTCGTGTGGTGTTCGACCCTTCGGGGTGTGTGGTTCAGGATCTGACGACGGGGAGGCAGATCGGAAGGGGGAGTAAATGTGAGCGCTTATTCCAGCTTGAAGAAATGTCGGGTCAACCTCAATCTCGATCACCTCTTATTGTCGAGTCTCGGTCCTCTTCTGTCTCTCCTGTCTTTTCCAGTTTAAACACTAGTGAGTTTGATTTGTGGCACTCTCGTTTAGGTCACCCTCATTCGAGTCGGCTTGTAACCATGTTTAACCAACAACTTTTTGGTAATAAAAAGGTTGATATTTCTTCGGGCAATTTTCAATGTACAAGCTGTGTTGAAGCAAAAACCACTCGTAGTTCTTTTCCTTCTAGTACTACGGTGATCATTGGTCCGTTTCAAATTGTTCACACGGATCTTTGGGGCCCGTCACCTACATGCCACTCATTTTACTTGGGTCTATTTCCTTCGTATTAAATATGATCTTCTTTCAATTGCCACCGATTTTTTGAAAATGATTCAAACTCAATTTGGTCAGACAGTCGTGTAGTCCGTTCCGATCCGGGAGGGGAATTCAGCTCTCATCCGTTAGCTCAGTTATTTCTATTCTAGGGTATTTTGACTTAGAAATCATGTCCAGGTGTCTCTCAGCATAATGGTCTTGTCGAACATAAGAATCGTCATGTAGTCGAACTCACTAGAGCTATGTTGCTAGCGTCTCGTGTTCCAGCTCGTGTTTGGCCATAAGTAGTGGCTACTGCTCTCCGTCGGATAAACTATCAAATTACCCCTGTTCTTGGTCAACTTAGTCCTCATTATGTCCTGTTCAAAAAGCACCCTGATTATTCCCGTCTCAAAGTCTTCGGCTACACTTGATTTGTGCTTCTTCCACGCAAAGAGAGGTCTAAGTTGTCCTTGAAAACATCCCGCTGTGTTTTTCTCGATTATAGTGACATCCATAAGGGGTACCTTTGTTACGATCCTTCTCTCCAGCGTCTTCGTATTTCTTCTGATTTAGTCTTGTTTGAGCGTCTTATGTTTTACTCGAGTCCACTAGAAGCGTTTTCTGTTGTGTTTGAGGTGACCCGACTGCCCATGTTCGACGATGATGAGGAGGTGGACGATGCCCTCTCACTCCCCCCGATTCGCCTGCCCCCTCCACTCTTGGTGATAGCTTCCTAGATATGTCCTCCGCCAGCTCGTCCTCGTCCTCCAGCAGCTCTCCAGGTTTTCTATCTCCACCGACTTCTCCACCAGCTCCTCAATGATCTCTTCGCACGACGAAGGGCCAACCACCTATTCGGTATAATGATTTTGTTTCCTATCATGTCGAGGCAGTTACTATTCCCACGTCGTACAAGCAGGCTATGCTTGATCCCAATTGGAATAAGGCCATGCAAACTGAATTTGATGCCTGCCATGCTATGGGGACGCGGGAGGTGGTGGATCGTCCTCCCGAACCAGTTACGATTTTGGGAAATAGGTGGGTGTAGGCAAAAAAGGTAAAGGAAGATGGTACTTTGGATCGCTTTCTTGTTCGGCTGGTGGTGCAAGGGTTTGGCCAGGAATATGGTCTTGATTACGATGAGACATTCGCACCGGTAGCCAAAATGCAGACGGTACAGACACTTTTAGCCATTGTAGCCATTCGTGGATGGCCCCTGTTTCAACTAGACGTCAAGAATGCCTTTCTGCACGACGATTTGAAGGAAGTTGTGTACATGAGACGACCGTCGAGGTGTACAGTAGGCCGTGAGGACCAGGTATGTCATCTTTGACGGTCTCTCTATTTTCTCGAACAGACACCTCGTGCTTGGTTTGAGAAATTTCAGTCAACTGTCTTAGCTCTCGGTTTTCAGCAAAGCCGGAATGATCCCTCTTTGTTCTTGAAGTCTTTGCCAGTGGGAATTATTGCACTGTTGTTGTACGTGGATGATATGATTATCACAGATGATGATGCTCCTGGCATAACACAGCTCAAGGCGGGTCTTCATGCTTCGTTTCAACTTAAGGAGCTGGGCAAGCTGTCATACTTTCTCGGTTTAGAGATTACTCGATCCCCGCGAGGTATTCTTCTAAGCCAAAGAAAATACATTACAGACTTGCTCTCTTCTACATAGTTCAGTGATTGCATTCTAGTCACCACTCCTATGGAGGTGAATTTACATCTTGGTCGTGAGTCTGGGGTTCCGTTGGTTAATCTGTCTCAGTATTGTCATATAGTTGGCAACTTGATTTACTTGACCCACACTCGACCCGACATTTCCTTTGTTGTACATGTGGTGAGTCAGTTTATGGCGGATCCCTGGGTGGATCATCTTTCTTCTGTTCATCGGATACTCCGATATTTATAGGGCACGCGAGAAGTTGGGCTTTTTCTTCCTGCCACTTGTGATTTACGGCTACAGGCTTATTCAGACTCTGATTATGCTGGTTGTGTTGATACCCGTCGATCTACTACAGGTTGGTGTGTTCAGTTTGGAGGGGCGTTTGTTAATTGGCGGCGTCGTAAACAAGATAAGGTATCTAAGTCCTCTACTGAAGCCGAGTATAGAGCAATGTCTGATGTTGCTTCAGAACAGGGTAGGATGCAGCGTCTTCTCCAGGACTTGGGTGTTTCGTGCCCGTCTCCGATTACTCTACACGTGGATAATACCAGCGCTATACAGATTGCAGTTAATCCGATTTTGCATGACAGGACCAAACACATTGAAGTTCATGTTCATTATGTTCTAGATCTAGTACAAGAGGGGTTCCTTGTTATTCGTCACATTGCGTCAGCCGATCAGCTAGCTGATTTATTCACAAAGTCTTTCTATCGATCTCCTCATTTGTTTCTTCCTAACAAGTTGATGCTTCGAGACCAGCATCAATTTGGGGGAGGCTGTTAGTGGAGTTGGGCTTTTAGCCCATTGTTGTATCGTAGTTAGATGGGTGTCGAGTGTAGTTGGGTGTGGCCGCAGGAGACTAGCCCTAGCGAGGTCTTGAGTGAGCTAGGGTTAGGCACCATTATTTGTGTACAACAAGGGTCTTGTAAACAAACTAAGAAAACTAATAAAACGATCAGCTTGGAGAGTTCTAGCTCTCCCATGAACTAGTCCCAATATCGGGGAAACCACGTAAATCGTGTGTCGAGTTTTCTTCTTCGCTTTCATATAAGTTATTCCGAGTTTTTTCATACTACTAACAGTGGCATCTATACTCAACAATCCACTTCGCTTGTGCAGCAACCTGGGAGGGAGTTTTTGCATTAATAACACCATACATCATAGCACATCTCTCCTGCCAGATTAGACTAAGCACCACACTCCATGATAAACGATTCAGACTCGCTGAAACAGACAAGCCATACCATGTAGAAATACACCATTGCAACACTGTCTGCCAATCCCCCAAAGGAGGGAGGAGCTGCAACCTTCATAACTTGTTTGAGCACACTCTATGTAAACACACAATATGCAAAAAGATGATGGCGAGTCTCTAAGCCTCCAGGACACAGCAAGCAAAGGCCAGTCAGTAACTGTCCCTAGGAAATTAGCCTATCCTGCAACTTCAACCTGTCATTAATCACAATCCAAAGTATAAAACCATGACGAGGAACAATAAATTTATCCCACACAAAGACTATACCATGACACCACATTACTTTTCTGCCTTAAAGAATTCCAGCCCTAATTTAGTAACGAGATCCAGTCGTTCATGACAGAGTACCTGTAGTCAAAACGAATGTACCAAAAATATAACGACAAGCGGTTCCTTTGTAGTTTTTGTCTCGAGTTTCTTCCATGTGCCCATTAGATTATTTTCAATAATATTTATTTCAATGGTATAAGCTGGCCTCGTTTGTTACAATTCTACATAATGAAACAAAAAAAGATGTATGAACTGTTATCGACCCTCCTCTATCTTCTTAATTACATCACATTTTAACTTATTTACAAATCCACCCCTTGCATTTTGTAGTATAAATTGAACCTTCAAAGAACCATATAGCCCATCAATAAAAGCATAAGTATCACAATACCTTATTTATATAACCCTTCCCCTTCATCACCATGGCTCATTCCTTCACACCCTTCTTCCTTGCCCTACTATTCATACTGATCACTACGACGAAAGTGCTCGAAAACGTTAAAGGCGATCCAGACCTAACTTTCATCTCGGCTCTCTGCGGCTCAGAGTACGATATCAGTTCTTTCAGGAAGGCTCACAGACGGCGACGTCTGGTTCGCAAGCTCCCATTCCCCGTTCTGCAGCGCTACCGGCGACGCCACAAATGTATGGTAGGGCTACATGTTCGGAATCCATTTCTCAGGAGGACTGCAAGTATTGTCTCGCCGTTGCGCAGGACCAGTTGCTGAATGCCAACATATGCCCAAATCACCTTTGCGAGTTGCTCCTTGAGGTACGAGACCTATGAGATTGAAGAATGTACGTCGTCATGATCAGAATGCTTTAGTATCGTCGGATTTGGATCGTACGAATGTTTTATCGGATGTCCCCGAAGGGACGTCTTTGCTATGTCCTTTTCTTTTGTATAAAATTGTACTTGTGATTGTAACTTTCTTTTATGTGTGTATAACAAAGTGTGAGAGAAATAAAAGCTATGAAGTTAATTATGAGAGCCTATACAATAGATTAATGGGCTGCCTCTTGTATTATTCATCATATGCTTTTCCCCATTAAGAACTGTAATCTCGATCGGAAGAAATTGTGAATGAAATATACGGGTAGATTGAAAGGTTAGTAACTGTGATTATTAAAAGAGTAAATACAATTTAATATCCAAACCTTTCATTTTAAATAATATAATAGCCAAACCTTTTCGAAAACAATCTAATATCCAAATCGTCAACTTTCCGTCCGTTTGACCGTTGGTTTACACTTCAAAAAAGTTTTGTTTAGGGGAAATTGTCACAATACAACTTTGTTTTCTTGTTTTGGCATTGCATATGACTGAATATTTAGATATTCTATACCATCATGGTGGAGTCATGGACTTCTCGGGTTTGGAACCATGATATGTTGGTGGTTTTTCAGAGAAGATATCGATGGATATTGATGAAGCGTCGTACTTCGAACTTTTTTGAAGTGTCAACTAACGGTCAAACGAACGGAAAATTGACGATTTGGATATTAGATTGTTTTCGAAAAGGTTTGGCTATTATATTGTTTAAAATGAAATGTTTGGATATTAAATTGTATTTACCCTTATTAAAAAGTACGTTCACGTTTAGTTATTAAAAATATTGAATTCCGTTCCTAGTCACTATAATTAATTATATTAAGTTTGGTGACTCTCCGTTAACTTCCTCCGTTAGTCTCCGTGAACGGCATCAGTTTTTTTTTTTGCTGTTGTGGCTATCAGAATCACTCAATCAGCCTAATTTAACCTAAAAACATTTATACTTGACCCGTCATATTATCAAAATCTGCCACGTCATAAAAATGGACCAAATTATGACCGACCCAACCCTATCCCACCTGACCCAATCCCCTTCCTTCTCCACAAAATCCGATTCAACTTCCAACCACAAGGTTATTATACCTTTTAGAACTCAACTCGATATGAATCATGTTTCGTATCTTTCAATATTACACTACTAATTATCTTCTCAATTATATATTTTTTTTATGGGGAACCTGGAGTATGTATTAAATGACGCACAACATTACATCATCCAGCTTCAGCCGATCAAGCAAGTACACTGGTGGCCTATCATCCAAACAACTCTCTCGTTAATACGAGTCTCTGCTCGAGTCATAATATGTGCCGCTCCATTTGCCTTTCGGGGCAGGTGCTGCCACTCCCCATTACCCAATAAGTTCAAGCCTCTTCTGGTGCTCCTGCACACCACACCTGTCTCTGTCAACTCCCTATCCGGATTCTGCAACTTTATAATTAAAGTCATACTGTCTGTTTCTAATAAAGGGTTTGTGGCCCCAATCACGGCATCCATCTGAATTCCAAGCTCGACTGCTAAAGCCTCGTCCAGCTCCACATTTTTGACCTCTTGAATCCGTTTTGCGTCTGCGAGAATGAAGGCCCCATCACTGCCCCGAATGGTTACTTATTACGCATTCATGGGATTTGGTTTCAATTCTCCTTCAAAATAATCACGAGAATAAATGTTGCCGCCATTGTTTGGTAAAGACTTTAAGAATATGAACCACAGTTTTTTTCTTCATAATCCTTAATACTTTAGGTAGTGCCGATTATCAGCATCAATAACCACCGCACCCCTTGCATCATGAGAATATCATTGAGGATTATCACATTCATAGGGCAGAAAATTTGCTTGTCCCGTCCCTGTCCCGTCTCTGTCCCTGTCTGACCCATCCCTGTAGGGTCAAGATGTATAACTGTCCCGTCCCGTTCCTGTCTCCTTCTTGACCCTGTCTGATCCTCAAGGGTTGGGACGGGACGGGTCGGGTCAGTGGGTCGACCCTAATCAACACACTACTTTTTTACAAATTACGTTTTGGTACCCAAAATTATTTTTTCTTACAATTTAGTACCTAAAATTTATTTTTTTACAAATAAATCCATAAATTTTGATGGTAAAATTACGTTTTGGTACCCAAAATTTTTTATTTTTACAAATTAGTACCTAAACTTTTAAAACTTTACAAAAAGGTCCAATGAAGTATGAGATATTTGTTGTTGTTAAGGGTCACAGGGTCAAAACGTGACCCGTCCCTAAGTTGTCCCGACCCGTCCCGACCCTTACAGGGTTAACAAATGACCGGTCCCTAATCTGTCCCTGTAGACAAACTGACCCGTCCCGACCCCTTTTGGACGGGACGGGTCGGGACGGGTCAGTGAGTCTTACGGGATAAGCTTTCACCGTACACATTCACTACTTTTGCTTTTCACATTCCCCTATCCGAGGATAGGTGCGAGTTATATTTGACCTGTTGCCAAGGTTCAAGATAATTGCACATAAGTAATAAGATAATTGAAGTACGAGTTGTTCGTAATTGATTGTCTATAACTTCTTACACCAATGGCTAATCACAAAGTGTTTGACCTTGCTTAGTGTAGGATTGCTATGCCACATTCTGTGAGTCTTGTCTTGTTGTTTCCTTCTATTTATACTTCCTTTTGGTGCAAAAGCCTCCCTTGATTTTTCTTTGACTTAGAGGATTCTTCTTTTAATCTTTCATTGATTTGGGAAATCCTATGATAATATATTTATAACTATAGCAAATAGGAGAAATTAGTAAGATTTTACCATTGGTTATTACCTTTTTGACACACGAGTGCAGAAAGAGAAAGCCTTTTTTCTGCCAACAATCTCTTCATGCTTTCTTTCTGCAATACTTAATTTGTCAAGTGATGCCAGCAATCATAAAAGATTTCATCTTGTTTTTAACACATGTTCAAGTCAAATTCTAGAACAAGAAACTCCTAAAAACTAAAAAGGAACCAAAAGTTAACAATGGCTAATTCTAATACCGCTCTTACTCCCACTTAACAGATCAATATGCTCATACTCTTATATGTTAAAAAAGATAACTCCTAATATTACACTACTAATTATCTTCTCAATTATATTCTTTTTTTTTTATGGGGAACCTGGAGTAGGTATTAAATGACACACAACATTACATCATCCAGCTTCAGCTGATCAAGTAAGTACACTGGTGGCCTATCATCCAAACAACTCTCTCGTTAATACGAGTCTCCGCTCGAGCCATAATATGTGCCGCTCCATTTGCCTCTCGGGGCAGGTGCTGCCACTCCCCGTTACCCAATAAGTTTGAGCCTCTTCTGATGCTCCTGCACACCACACCTGTCTCTGTCAACTCCCTATCCGGATTCTGCAACTTCATAATTAAAGTCATTCTGTCTGTTTCTAATAAAGGGTTTGTGGCCCCAATCACGACAGCCATATGAATTCCAAGCTCGGCTGCTAAAGCCTCGTCCAGCTCCACATTTTCGACCCCTTGAATCCGTTTTGCGGCTGTGAGAATGAAGGCCCTATCACTGCCCCGAATGACTACTGATAGAATCTGGTTCTGAGATTCTATCGGGAATTGGGATTCAGGGATTTAGAACAGAATTAAGGATTTGAGAAGAGAAAGATAGAGAATCGGCCTAGGCCTTTAGAGGGATTGGGAACAAGAATTGAGAGGATTGGGAGAATAGGGTTTAGGAGATTGTTTCTTAATATTCTTCTTGACTGATTATAATGAAACCACAAAGTACATATCTATAGGAAGTGATAGGAAAACCATAATAATAAACCTAATTCTACTAAAAGACTACTATCCTTATTTGTAAATATCCTAATAATAATAATAATAATAATAATGATAATTATGATAGAATCACGAAAATGTGTTTCTATCATCTCCTCCCCCTTGGGACCAACCTTGCCCTCAAGGTTGATCAGCTCGATCCACTCTTCCCTTTCTTCTCGCGCAATCCGCGGCAGACTCCTCCATCTCTTATGCTTCCTTTTCTTCCAATTGTGCTCCACTACTCGAATGAAGCCTACTCCAGCTACTCCGGCTCCAATGGCCTCTTCCCAATCCACGTGGCTCAAATTGCAACCATGGCCAAATGACTCACCGTGCTCCTTTTCAAACTCCACAAAGTAAGAATTAGATAGTTCTTCTTCCTTGAGCCCATCATCTAGGCCCACGAATTCTTTTTCTTTGAAGCCCACACCATAATAAAGAGGTTCAACTAAACAGTCCACTTGAAATCCAAACCTTTTATTTTCAAGAAACCCATCTTCTCCTTCTCCTTGAGATCTGTGGGCTTTCTTTGTCCCGGCCCGCAACTTAACCCTTGTTTGGCATTTACAAGTCCTAGCTGCGGCCCAACAACCTTCATCTTGCTAGCCAACTCGTGGCCCAAACCGCCACAACCTTCCTCCACCATTGGGCCTCTTGAATCAAGCTCGGATTTGTATAAGAGACACCAGATTAGTGTGCTCATGTCCGGCCCAAGGATTGGGTCAGGAACCAGCTTTTGTTCGGCCCAGTCCCTTTCCAACTTCAGCCTGCCTGCCTGATTCGACCAGACCCGGCCCATTTCACGGCCTAGAACGGCCGACCTAGGGTTCGCGCGAGAGATGCCGCCAACCCTCTTCGCCTCCGCAATGTTCTCCCCTGGCGGCGATGGCTTCTTCGGCGCCGAGTAGAGAGTCCCACCTCCGCGCTTCTTCTTCTCCATTCTCGGCGACGAGCAACTCCTCTGACGGCACAGCTGCCGGTCTGCTCTCGACCTCATCCTCGACGCCACGAATGGAGCAGATCGTGGGGACTGCTGGATTTCCGTCTTGACTTCAACCCCATCTCCTCGCCCACCATCGCCCCGAGCGGATCTTCGTCCGTCGTCGCTGCAAAGGAAGCCGCACAACCAGCCCTCGCGTTTGTCTTTCTGGCGAACAACTTTTTCTTCTTCCGCGGCGGCCAGAGCCCTCCATCGCCGCCGCGTTTCTTCTTCTTCCCCACCTGGCTCGGTGGTGGCACTTCCTTTTCCTCAATCTCCCTCTCTGGCCGCGAACACATCACCCAGTGACCAGGCGAGCTCAAGTTTGCCTCCAAGACCAGCACTCCTGATGCGGCAGGCAGCGGCGCCTCTTCTCCCTTCGCGATCGGCGACCGAATTTCCCTGTTGGATCCTCGAACAATGCGAGAATGAAAGACTTCGTCGCCCCCTTCTCTTCCTCTTCTGACAGCGCGCACCTCACCAGACGACAAGTTTATCGTCGCTCTTCTAGACTCGGCTTCGGCGGCGGTTCTTCCACCGTCTCCCAGTCCGCTGCTGCCACGAACGGATTCCCCTGCGACGCCGCTGCGAGGAGAATCGCAGGATTCACCCTCGATTTCTTCTCCTCGGTGACCTGCCTCTTTCCCTTCTCCTTCAACTTCTTCTCCAGCCCATCGTACCTGGGCACGACGGTAGGAGTGACCGTAAATCTCGCCTCCGTAGCAGCTGTAACTTCAATATCGGCCGCGCCGAGTGGAGTTGATGGTTTGGTGATCGGAAGTGTCGCCGCTGTTGTCGACGTCAGTAGCGGTTGAACCTCGATGATGGTTGTGAAGATGCTTGGGACGTCAGTGGTGGAAGCCAGTTGTGGAGCTGCGTCGATTGCACTGATTTCCATGGCGGTAGGCGCGAACTCCGCGTCAGTATGAGCGTCTTCGACGGTGGCTGGTGTTGATGAATCCTTTGTCATCGACTCTGGATGGTTGCTGGTCGCGCAACGGCGAGTCGCACGACGCTCGAGTTCTTCCAGGCATGTTATCATATAGTTGTCGTGAGCTTTCCTGCGAACTTCATCTTTTACTAGACTAGCTTCATATTTCACTAGACTGACTTGGAGAGCTTCAAACGTGTGATAGAGTTTCTGATAACAATTCCATGGTGAGAGTTGTGATGAACTAAAATATGTGACCAGGCTCTGATACCAAATGATAGAACCTGGTTATGAGATTCTATCGGGAATTGGGATTTAGGGATTAAGAACAGAATTAGAGATTTGAGAAGAGAAAGATAGAGAATCGGCCTAGGCCTTTAGAGGGATTGGGAACAAGGATTGAGAGGATTGGGAGAATAGGGTTTAGGAGATTGTTTCTTAATATTCTTCTTGACTGATTATAATGAAACCACAAAGTACATATTTATAGGAAGTGATAGAAAAACCCTAATAATAAACCTAATTCTACTAAAATACTACTATCCTTATTTGTAAATATCCTAATAATAATAATAATAATAATAATAATTATGATAGAATTAAGAAAACGTGTTTCTATCAACTACACCCGGGCATGCTTGTCCCGTCGGGAACACTGCCGCATCCGTCGTAATAGACACCCGACCAGCGGGAGGGCGACCCCATCTCCTCCTTGGCTGACTTACTCCTGCATCTGCCTCGCGCGAATGGTGCTTCTTGTAGTCTTCAAGAAAGAAACATGCCCTTAGCACAATTTCATTCTCCGCTAGTTTATGCCCATTCGAATAGTGAGCATTTGCTCCTTCCACAAAAACCATAACAGCACACACCCCCCCTCCACCCCAGCGACATCCTGTGAATTTAAAACCTCTGTAATCCACCTAGGGCAATCACCCGCACCCTGCTTCCGAAAGCAGTCGACAAAAACATATTGTCTCTAGAGCCGGGAAGCCCACTGATACTCACTTAAGTAGTGGATTTGTGTCTCTCTTCCATTGCAGAACACACATTTATCACCCTACCTACTGCTGCGAGCATCCACATGGTCCCCGGTCGGAGAATGTCACGAGCAAACTTCCATAAGAACAGCCACGTCATGAAAAATGAACGAAATTGTGACCGACCCAACCTAGTTTAACCTGAAAACATTTATACCTGACCCGCCATATCATCAAAATCCGCCACGTCATGAAAGATGAACCAAATTGTGACCGACCCAACCCTATCCCACCTGGCCCACTCACCTTCCTTCTCACAAAATCCGATTCAACTTCCAACCACAAGGTTATTATACCTTTTAGAACTCAACTCGATATGAATCATGTTTCGTATTTTTCAATATTACACTACTAATTATCTTCTCAATTATATTCATTAATCAATGACGGAAACATAAACTTTGCATGTTTTAGTCATTTGTCGGTTTATTAGTTATTATGAGTTGTTAGACATTTTGAGAATTAGGGGCGGGTTATTATGTATGGGGTAGTATTCGGTAATTAGTGAATTATATAAATAGTTAGCTAGTGAACTTTATTCCACTAAGCAGGATTATAAATCTAATTACATCTCTCTCTCCTTCCAGTCGAAACCTCCTTCCTCTTTTCCCTAGCTTTTGCTGCAACCTTACCTCCTCCCCTCTCTTCTCTAATTCTTTTCCTCAATTTCCCAAATCCCTAGTTCTAATTGAGAGTTCAAATCCCTAGTTGATCTCCTAATTTCCTATCTCTAGATAGAACCAAATCCTTGTTCTATCACTCAACTTCTTTTCAACTTCAGAATTTACAAAAGCCAAACTCCCAGTTTCATTTACTAAATTCAATCTCAAGTCGAAGCTCGAACTTGATCAAGACCAAGAATCATGTATGCTCAAACCTAAAATCATAAGAATAAAATGCAGAAATGCATCAACTGATAAACAAAAACCGAACCCCCTAGATTTGTATGTACTCCCAGTCATTCTCAATTTCTCACACCTATCATAATTGAAACAAAATGGGTCAATTACTAAGCTGGTTATTGGTTAGTCCCACATATGCACTGAAGTGTATGGGATGTGCCGACAAATAAATTGAAACACACAAATCTTATTCACTCTAGATTAAGTTCTTGGTCATCAATCCACATCCATTAAGTAAATTCATCTAAATTCATGTCATTCTTATTATCATCTAATTATAATATTCATAACCATTAACAATGGATTCAAGTCATACATTAACGAACGAGAAAGAATAAGATGATTCAGGAAAAAAAATGTGAAAAAGTTGAAGTCGAGCTCATTTTGAGCCGGTTTGTGATTACCTTGACAAGTTTCGTTATTGAGCATTTATCAAATTGAGCAAGATCGAACTTGTGGTGGGTAATTTTCACTCAAGCCGAGTTGAACTCGAGCAAGATAATCTCAATTCTACCTCGAATTTAGTTCGAGTTGAGCAATTTATAAACGAGAAAAGCTCAAATCAGACAAAAATTCGACTCGAGTAAACTTGTTTGTAGCCCTACATAAACCCAAGCAAATTAGACATTTCCAATAAAAGGTTAAATATACCACTACTGTTACTAGTTAACAATTATACATCTCTATTATTAATTTGCAGTTTTATGCCCTTGTACTATTGTAACGCAACAAAAGTGACCAGTTCAAATGTTCAACTTAGAATTTTAAAGAGATAGTATGACAAAGAGGAAATAAAAAAAAGAGGCGCATTTCACAAACCAAAGAGAACAACAACACCGTGTGACGTCCTCCAACCCGGTAGCCAAGCACGAGTCAACCCACAAGTATTTGTGAACCGTTTTTCTTATCGGATCTGTCTATTTGCGGGTTGACAACCTTGATCGTATCTACCAAGACAAAAATTTCTCACATCTCCTTTTTTTTATAGAAAATTTCCCACATTTCAAATAAGGAAAAAAAGCATTTATAGTTTTTATGAAAAAAACACATGCACTTGGTCTCATATTTTAGTCATGTGATCATTAACTATAAAAATTGTAATTCCTAATAGCCTAATACAGTTGGCCCTTGTATACTTCATAGATGTGTACAAACAAAAGATATATAAATTGTGATCAACCCCCCTCTACATTCTCTTATTTACAATTCCATCCTTTCATTGTTGTAGTATAAATTGAACATCAACCAACCAAGTAGTAGCATCATCGAAAAAAAAGAAACAAACATACCAAGTAGCACATACAAAAAAGCATCAAATCCCAATTAAGCTCTACTTGATACAACACCACCATGGCTAATTCCTCCACACCCTTCTTCCTCCCCTTACTATTCATACTGATCACTACCACGAAAATACTCGAAAACGTTCGAGGCGATCCAGACCTAACTTTCATCTCGGCTCTCTGCGGCTCCGAGTACGACGCCACCTCTTTCAGGAAGGGTCAAGCCACTAGACTCACTGACGGCGACGTCAAATTCGCAAACCCTCGTTCCCCGTTTTGCAGCGTTACCGCCGATGACGATGGCACATTCCCGATGTACGGAAGGGCTACATGTTCGGACTCCATCTCGCCGGAGGATTGCACTGCTTGCATTGCCTATTGCAAAGACCAGTTGGTGAATTACAACATATGCAGCGATCTGTACGGCGCCCAAATCAACGTTGCCAGCTGCTCCTTGAGGTACGAGACCTATGCAATGGACGAATGTACGGCGTGATCGATGATGAAGGTTTGTTTTTTTTTAATTAAGGTGTAACGTTACTAGTATCGGCGGATTTGGATCGTTTGAATAAATTCTGGACGTCTTTTGCTATGTCCTAATTTTCTTAGTACGTGATTGTAATTTTCTTTTGTGTGCGTAACAAAGTGTGGAGGGAATAAAGGCTACGAAGTTAAAAGGACTGTAAATCTCGATCGAGAAATTCTTAACGAAATATAGATATGGGTTTGGTGTTTGAATCGTTGGTCGGAATGTCATTTGAACACAACGTGTTTACGATGTGTATCCTAACAGTTTTATTTGAATTGATACTACGCTTTACCCTTGTTGAGTGATTTTTAGGTTTTAATTATCTAAATCATAGACTCTAAACACAAATATGATGCATATCGTTTGTTGGATGTATCTCGACGAATCATGACCGTCGATTATTGTTTCTAATTAAATTGATCTTAGTGTATACGATTTATACAAAGCAGACAAAGATTTTAATCTTTAAGGGGTAGAGTATAGTGCCACGTGACAAACTCTGATCAAGTCAAGGTCTAGATATAATTTTCTTACGAAGAATATGTGATAGTGCAACTTTTACCCGATGTACTATACAATCATCCATATATATATGAGGAGTTCTTCGGTACCCAAGGTAAAATCCGGGGTACCGCATACCTTGAGTAAGAAAACGCTATTCAGAACTTGAATTGACTAATCTTTCAGACATGATACTATACTCTAACCCTTAAAGATCAAAATCTAGGTCTTAATTCTATAAATCTTATATCCCAAGATCAATTTCATTAGAAACGATAATCGATGGTTATGATTCGTCCAAATATAGGCAAAAAAATCAATGCACCATCTTTGGGTTTACAGTTTATGATTTAGATAATTAAGACCTAGGGTTCACTCATTAAGGGTTAGGGTATAGTATCATGTCAAAAAATCCTGCTAATTCGAGGTCTAGATAGAGTTTTCATACTCAAGGTATGCGATACCCTGGATTTCACTCGTCGTACTGTAGAAGGCACCACATATATATATATATATATATATATATATATATATATATATATATATATAACAAAGGCTAACTTTCGCTAAATGCACGCTATATGTTTGTGTCCACACTTATTTAATTACTATTAAATTTGGTTATTCCAATTAATTTTTATAATTATAGTCACAACCACATCCGTTAGTTTATTTTTCTATACACTATAGTCTCTAAACTTTATTTTAATGGATTAATCGTCTAAGATTTCCAATGGTTACTTATTAAGCATTCATGGGATTTGGTTTCAATTCTCCTTCAAAATAATCATGAGAATAAATGTTGCAGCCATTGTTTGGTAAAGACTTATGAACCACAGTTTTTTTCTTCATAATCCTTAATACTTTAGGTAGTGCCGATTATCAGCATCAATAACCACCGCACCCCTTGCATCATGAGAATATCATTGAGGATTATCATATTCACTGCTTTTGCTTTTCACATTCCCCTATCCGAGTAGGTGCGAGTTCTATGTTAGCAGCTCTGTTTTGTGACAAACAGTCTTCGTTGGGAATGATGAAGGTTTGATGGTGGTTACGTAGAACACTTATTGCACATAAGTAATAAGATAATTGAAGTACGAGTTGTTCGTAATTGATTGTCTAGACTTGTGTGTTGGATTTGACCCGTTGCTAAGAAACAAGATATTGAGATATGTTTTATAGTCTTTTCACTGGTCGTCTTCCATCTTTGACTAGTTAGCAAGCTCTTGTAACTGTTAAGAATCAATCACAAGATAGTAAAGAGCTAGGAGAAGAACACATAAATATAATTCTTTTTGTTAATCAAGTTTAACTGGTGCTTACGTCTCGGCTCAAAAGTGACTCGCACTTTGAGACAATAGTGTCTAGATTTTTATTCCAGTCCGTTCTAACTACAGGTTGAGTCCTTTTGGGTGGAACTCAAACCCTTGGCTAGAATAAAACAATATACCCATTTATATCTTCCTCACAAGCACTCGTCTAAAAAGATAAACTACACAACCTCACAAACACTCAAGTAATATAGACAGTGAACACTTATAACTTCTTACACCTATGGCTAATCACAAAGTGTTTGACCTTGCTTAGTGTAGGATTGCTATGCCACATTCTGTGAGTCTTGTCTTGTTGCTTCCTTCTATTTATACTTACTTTTGGTGCAAAAGCCTCCCCTTGATTTTTCTTTGACTTAGAGGATTCTTCTTTTAATCTTTCATTGATTAGGAAAATCCTATGATAAGATATTTATAACTATAGCAAATAGTAGAAATTAGTAAGATTTTACCATTGTTTATTACCTTTTTGACACACGAGTGCAGAAAGAGAAAGCCTTTTTTCTGCCAACAATCTCTTCATGCTTTCTTTCTGCAATACTGAATTTTTCAAGTGATGCCAGCAATCATAAAAGTTTTTAACACATGTTCAAGTCAAATTCTAGGACAAGAAACTCCTAAAAACTAAAAAGGAACCAAAAGTTAACAATGGCTAATTCTAATACCGCTCTTACTCCCACTTAACAGATCAACATGCTCATACTCTTATATGTTAAAAAAGATAACTTGCTCCCCCTCAAAGCTTGCTACTTATTCTCCCCCTTGGTGTTTGGAATCTCGAAAATAGCGATATGTGCACGTAGTCTAAAAAACAGAGGGAACTAAACAAAAGGAAAAGAATGTTCAACGGAGTACCCATCTATATCAAACCCAACAATAGTGAGGAACTTGGTAACCAAGGTAGTATAGGGAAGAGTAGTGGTCCATGACCCCTCTTTTGGGCCTACCTGGGCCATTGAAGACATATAAGGGAGGAAAGATTGACCTTTCTATCATGAAGAGCATTGACAAGAATGAAGAGATCAATATGCTCAATGGTGAAGAGATAATCAACTCACGGAAGAAAGAAGTGAATGATGAGATAGTACAACACGTTGAGATGGTCAGAGAGAACATACAGAGTAATGATGCCGTGAGTCAGCTATTGAAGCTCGGCATTGAAGTCAAAGTAATGAAGCTGAAACCCTGATGCATAGCAAAGTGAAAGACTATGAGTTTGGAAGCCTGAGTTTGGTAGCAAATTGGTGGGAATCAAAGTTGACCCAAAAACTCAGAAACATAGATGTGAGCCGAGAGTTACTCGTGGCCTCTAAACCAAGATTGTAGTAAAACCTACAATTAACCAGAGGGAAGAACGCTATGGGATTAGGTTTTGGTGTTCAGAGTAACTTTCCTATCCCAGATTGACGAGGAGAGAGCGCACTTCAGCTGAAGAGCACGACAATGAGGAAAAATCATACTCACTAGTGATAGGAAGCATGCTTGAAAAGGAGCGTTAATCGCCTTGGCTGATGAATGAGTTGCAGTTAGTATGGGAGTATGATAGAATGCCCATAGGTTGAGGAATGTCATCGTAGCGAGCCATTTGTAAGAAAATGTTGAGAAGAACGAAGAGTAGGGATACGAAGAGGGAATACCAAGGAGGATAAACGAGAAGGAGAAAACTGACTCGCTAAAACACGACACCAAACTACGATCAAGTGTACTCGTAGACTGGAAATGTAATATAGTGGGTTCAGGTTCTAATATCAACCCATGTCCTAGGTGTACTGTCTACTCCGCGAGCTTCTATTATCTAGCAGTAAAAGCTGAGTGAAGATTATCAAAAGCAAAAGTGAACAAGAAGCAAGTAACAGTTATATTCAGGTTAAGAAGGCTCACTTAGTTATGAGTCCCCATAGTTTGCAGTTAGGCCAAGTTGTAGTTCACCCAAGTCAAGTTGATTGATGTTTAAACTGCGAAAAGTTCTCAAACAGTCTGGAGTCTCGACTAAAGTGTTCCAGACCCTCTCAGTTTGAATACCCGGTGGGCAACTAACATCCACCAGCGTAAACTAACTGAGGCAATAAGATTCAAACTTCATATACTGGGTTCTACTCAGTACAAAGCAGTGAATCAACTTCTCGACTAAAGTAGCCGATTTACTACTTTCAATTCAAGATGCTCTATTGATATATGCAGAGATTATTTTTTTAGGTCAAAGCAGGAATCACTAGAATTTGATCAAGACTAAATCAATTCTGAAAACGTACTTCAACAGGATATAAATCAATCAATCATTCATGGCAAATGGTTCATACAACTCTTCTTAACATACAATCTAGGGTTCTTACATACCCAAATGATAGAGGGGATTGCTTCATGGAGAGAGAGAGAGAGAGATAGATAGAGAGAGAAAGCTATGCTGGATGTAGAAATCATCATGTAGACGGAAGAAATCTGCTTCGGGTCGTCAATCGTCACTCATCGAGGCTTAAACTAAGCTCCAATGGTGGGAAGACTTGATCTAGGGCACTCAAGAGTCTTTGTTCGTCACTTTCTCTCTCTACTCTGTTTTCAGCGTCAAAACTCGAATGGTAATTCAAACCCCGCGTTTGGCTCTAAACAACTCGTGTTCTGCATCCTCGACCTGATTACCCGGTCGGGTATTTTGATGCCAGACCGGGTTTTCCCAAAATGATGCACAACCACTAACGGTCCCATGTCCGAATCCCCGGCCTCAGGTTCGAATTCCCAATCGGGAATTTAAGGGTCTCGCCCAGGGGTTGCCCTGGACGAATTCCCCAGCTGTGATGCCATTTCCCTGGTCGAGGGAATAGTGGTCAGGCTGGGTATTTTGGTTCTCGAGCTCCCCTAGTTATCTACTCCGTGCTTTTGACCCAAAACTTGCTCCGAAGCCTGCATAGCTGATCCAAGACCTCAAATACATAATACAAGAACAACCTAGCGTAAAATCGGCTTAAAATACGAGAATAGAGTCTCAAACAGTGTAAGAATGGTGGAAAAAGTATATGCAAAATATCAAGTTATAAAAATCCGGATGGAAATGTTATTATTGTCAACTCATTCTTTCTTTAATGGGAAGTTGCACTTGTAACCATTCTTACTTGGATAGAAGGGTGGTGCCGTCAATCATCCCTAATTCCTAGCGTAGGTAGGTAAAACGATCATAACCTAGGGGTTTAGTAAAGATATCAACCACTTGCTGATCTATGGAAGTGTGGGAAATTGAATGATGCCAACTTGAACTAGATCTTGTAAGAAATGATATTTCATTTCAATATGCTTAGTTCTAGACTGTTGGACTGGATTCTTGCCCATGCTTATGGCACTGAAGTTATCACATAGAATCAATAAGTCAGTGATAGAGAGTCCATAGTCAGCAACTATTGTTTTAGCCAAAAACGTTGGGTGCATACGTTTCCTGCAGCAAGATAAACAGCTTTATTTGTAGATAAAGCAACACAGACTTGCTTCTTGGAAGACCATGAAACAAGGGACTCTCATAGGAACTGACAACCGTCAAAGGTACTTTTCCTATCAACCATGCTACACGTGAAGTAAGATACAGTATATACTAAAAGTTCTACGAAACTATTCGAAGATACCAGAGTCCTAAGGTAGGTGTATGAGCAAGGTAACATGAGTTATATCTATTGAGCCTCAGGTGAAGTTATGATCTACTAAGAATGTACTTAATCGCTCACGCCAAGCTTGATGAGTTTGCTTCAATCCATATAGAGCCTTTTTACGTTTATAAACATAATCAAGCACAAAGTGATTCTAAAAACCTAGGGCTTTTGGATTTGGTAACCAGATAAGGAATTTTCAACTTCCATAAATGTCTATCATTCTTCTTAATGGTTAACAGTTTAACCTTTAACAATATTATTAGTTGTTAAATCGTTAACGACATAATCGTTTATCAAGCCTATAAAATATTATTTAAAAGATACCGTTTGTTTATTATTTCCGACAGTACCTAACTGGCCCTTATCGTTACTATCAAGGCAGAAATTTTCCACATTTTAAATAAGGACAAAAGTATCTATAGATTTAAACTCTCGATAATTTGACCTATTATGAATTTGGAGATAGAATCATAGAACACACGCACTTTGCCTCATATTTGAGTCATGTGATCATTAACTATAAAAAGATTATTATTTCCATTGTAATTGCTTATACAGCTAGCCTTTGATAGATTCTAGCTGTGTACGAAGAAAAGATATGTAAAATTGTGATCAACCTCCTCTAAACTCTCTTATTTACAAACCCACCCTTTTATGTTTATAGTATAAATTGAACGTCAACGAACCAAGTAGTATTATTCAAGAAAGAAACAAACATACCAAGTAGTAGCCCATACAAAAGCATCAAATCCCAAGCTACTTCATACAACACCATGGTTCATTTCTTCACACCCTTCTTTCTTGCCCTACTATTCATACTGTTAACTACCACGAATGTACTCGAAAACGTTCGAGGCGATCCAGACCTAACTTTCATCGAGGGTCTCTGCGGATTCGAGTACGATACAACCCCTTTCAGGAAGGGTCAAGCCATGAGACTCACAAGCGGCGACATCGAACGCACAAGCTCCCATTCCCCATTTTGCAGCGTTACCGCCGATGACGATGGCACGCCCCAAATGTATGGTATGGCTACATGTTCGGACTCCATCTCTCCGGAGGATTGCAAGGCTTGTCTTACCTATTGCCAAGACCAGTTGCTGAATTACAACATATGCAACGATCTATACGGCGCCCGAATCATCGTTGCCAGCTGCTCATTGAGGTACGAGACCTATGAGATTGAGGAATGTGCGCCATGAATATGCCTTGATCGAAGATGAGAGGTATACATCAAGAGTTCTCTGTGCTGCTAATTACTGGTTACGTGTTCAGTCAATTGATGGTACTTTGGTATAATGGTATCGTCGGGTTTGGAGCTAGTTGGAATAATTCTGGACGTCTTTGCTATGTCCTTTTCTTAGGAATTATACTTGGTGATTGTAGTTTTCTTTTATGGGTTTAACAAAGTGTGAAGAAATAAAAGCTATGAAGTTTATCATGAGGGCCTATATGTAGATTATGGGCTCTTGTACTATTCATATGCTTCTCTCATGTATACTAGTCAATTGGCCCGCGCTTAGCTGCGGTAACTTTTTTTTACAACATTTTATTTATTTTCATCAAACCATATAATTTAAAAAATATTAATTTAAAAAGGCGAAACAAACTTTTCTCAGATTTGGGATAATTACATAGTAAATTCATTCATTAACTTTAAAAGCTCTCATCTCTAACCTAAAAAAGTAACTTGAAAGTAGAGCAAGCATTGTGATTCGTGTGCCCTTTTCTTGTTTGGCCTAGATATTGAATCTTCTTACCAAGTCCTTTTATGTGTTTGAATGAAGCAGTTCACCCTTTTATATATATATATATATATATATATATATATATATATATAAAAGGAAGTACGACAACAAAAAGCAGGATACAATAATAAGATAATCATTATTATAAGTTGCATTAATTTGTCATGCTCAAATCATAAGTCATCATTAGGAGTTATTGAAATTTGAGACTTGACCTTTGGCCTTGAAAAATAGCAATACGAAATCATGATCAAGTTTGTTCAATTACTTGTGTTGTTTGGATAATAACAAATATGAAATTTAATTTCATATATGACATATTGAAGTTAATATGAATACTTTCAAAACACGGATATCAAGAAGACCATGTTTGAGTAATATTCATAAAATATTGTATCATATAAAATATTTATACAAACTAAATCGTGTATGTCGATCCCGTTGTTGCAATTATACATCTGAAGAACTTCATACATATTTAATTGACAATGATTCATACACTATCCAATATTATAATTTCAAATTATTATCTCGTGAATTTAAATTGCTCTTAAATTTAACTTATCCTCCTCTTTGCTAAACCCCATTATGTTTCTTATGTTGTTGGTATCCATAATTAGATACTATAATCAATAAATTATCATCCTTCTGTGTGGGTAAGATGAATAGGGAGGTTGTACATTCTGTCGACACTCAACCCTTAATTTTCTTTTTCCTAATTGTCAATAAGTAATTAGTTAATTATGTCATATTGTAAATTCATGAATGCCCAATCACCAGTAGGCAGCTATCTCTTATTCCAAACCGTAAATTGTCACAATAACTTCAATTCTTGTCTGACGTTTTAAGCAAACTTGTGCGACCAGTTACCAAGTTTGAAAGGAAGCGTTGTCTTCTACCAACAACAATATACTTTGTTGTACACATGTAGTACTCGGCTCATGCAACAAATGCACCTCAGCCCTGAGTGTAGTCAGGAACTCATTTAAGAACATTATAAAATAATTTTTGTTAACTTTTTAGTTTAAAATTATATTTTAAAAAATTGGTAATTTAAGATACAATGGTAGTCAAAACTACAAAAAAAAAATTTCTTCGTTTAATCAGTTACCCGTTTACTATTAAATAAAGAATTGCAAATGAGCAATCCAATAACCAAGACAACGATATGGGCCGCCATTGTGGCTTCCCAGAAGCAAACAAAGAAAAGAATGGAACAGAGACCTCCACTATTATCAACCTCAACCCACTACTTCTACTGCAATCTTAACAATACCAAATCTTGCTTCATTGTGTTTGTAGCGCCTCTGCATCTCGATCCTGCTCAACATGGCATCTTCTTCACCTCTCTACAAAGAAAAAAAATATTACTAAATATGCAGGAAACAATTATTTACGATTTAGTTAGCTAAAATTTTGTGAAAATTTTGTTCTTAATATTGAATATGCACACCTTTGATATTTCAATCGGTCATATGCATCATTGTTATTTGTACATGGCTTATTATAAAATTTTGAATATATCAATAAATGATATGTAAATGCATCCTAAATTTTATTCTCAATTAATTACTATAACTAATTTATCAATTTTTCGTCCAATCCACAATGGATCTCTAGCTCTGTACTCGACTGCTTGTCTTCCCTTATTCTTTTCCTGCCACCCAATTTTTTCTCTGATGATGAGAGTGAGAGAAATGAGAAGGGAGAGAGAGGAGATGGAGGAGGCTTGATGTAGTGGGAATGATGATGTGATTGGTGATTGCTTGGAATATAGGAAAGAGAGAGAGGGAAGTAGGTTTTTTTTTACAAAGTAGGTTGATGGGTTTGGATGGGAAAATCCAAAAAGTAACGTTGGGGTGGTACAGGTGAGGTGTGGCCCTTCTTTTGTAAGCCCATGCATGTGAAAGGGATTTTAAAACAATCAATAACCACGTTTGTTTTACCCAATGTGGTGAAAGTGAGCTTACATGAAAACGCCCGCATGTGATCAAAAAACCTGTATTGAACAGTAACTTTCGATTTTTTCTTAAGGAACAGTAATTTCGATTTTTGGTAATTTTTTAGGACTTCTGGTTTAATAATTCTAATAATAATATATATATATATATATATATATACATGGAAGTTAAAGGACTGTAATCTCGGTTGAGAAATTATTAAGGAAATATATATGTCAACGATTGGTGTAGGAGTATACCTATTATGATCGTTGGTTTACTTAGTTGTAATACTTCGTTTATTAATTATGTTATTTACTTGAATCTCCAATTAAACTTTGTGTTTACAGTTTACAAAACCCGATTACTTCCAACCACAAGGTTAGGATACCTTTTAAAACTAAACTCAATAGTCAATATGATTTATGTGTCGAATCTTTTTATGTGCATTACACTACTAATCACTTTCTCAATTCATTAGTTGACTGTTTTCAAATTCAGAATTTACAAAATCCAAACTGCCAGTTTCATTTAAGTAAATTCAAACTCAACTCAAAGGTGGTAAGTCCAACAATCATCATGCATGCTCAAACCTCAAATCATAATATAAGAATAGAATTTAAGAATACATCAGCCAATAAGCAACCTATCACAATGGTCATAACTGAAACAAAATAGGTAAGCAACTAAGTTGAATACTTGAATGTATGGTTGGTCCCACATGCAGTGAAGCGTATGAAATGTGCCGACAAATAAATTTAAACACACAAATCCAATTCAGTCTAAATTAAGTTCTTGGTCATCACCCCACATCCATAAAGGAATTTCATCTCAGTGCAGTCCCTTCTTGTTATAGATTTATTTATAATAGTAATAACATTAACAATGGATTCAAGTCGTACATTAACAAACCAGAAAGAATGAGTTGGTTCATAAATGAGCAAAATTCAAATCAAGTCGAACCACTCGACTAAACTTATTTGCAGTCCTATACACACCCAATAAAAATTGGGCATTAAAAAAAGACATTTGTGTCCCGAACTATTTGAAAGTTGTGTTCTTAAACTCACCTATGCATGAGGTGCAAATGTGCAATCATGCCTTATTTTCAAGAGATTTAGAATTTAACTATTAACCGAATTAAAACTTTCATAGAAATGATCACTTATAGTTTGCATAACAATATTGTTGCTTTATGGTAGTTCTTAATAGTAATGCTAAGTTAAGAATTATACATCACATCTACGCATTTATTGCAATTCAATATGACATATTTGAATAAATTATATTTAGGTTGCAATTTTAAAATTATCCACATAAATGATAGACATAAATTAAATATATTATTAAATTCAAATTCAAATATCAAAAGGAAAGTACTTATGAAAGAGTTATAGTGGGCTAGCCAAAAGTTGTGGAATAGTCATATGATTTTCATATGTTAGGTTTTGTATTTTTTATTTATTTAAAAAGATACAAAATATTTCTTTACTGTAATTGATAATAATTGTTGTCTTCGTATGAAAAGATCATGGTTCAAATCTTGAGATTGGTGTTTCTTTTCTTATGAATAAGGAATAAATATTAATTGTGAAGACAAATCTACCTTCCTTTTTTTTTTTGACGAAACCTGATTTCATTAAGAAATAGGAAAGTGATACAGAGTTTGAACCGAATTTCTGGAAGAAAGAAGTCTGGCCTAAGTGAAAAAGATAAACAAAAAAAAAAAAGATTACATGACACCCACCCAATCAACACAAACAAGCCCACGTACAGAAACAACAACAACAAAAAAGAAAATGAAACAACCACAAAAGGCCAAACACAAACCACCCTAGCCCACAATGAAAGCCCAATAGCCAACCAAACCAACACACAAACAAAAACCCTAGCCATCAGCAACAACAAGACGTCAACCACCCCAAGCGACTTCAATACCGCCGTCGTCCACCAAACCCAGAAGCTGCATACGACCACCAGAAACAAAAACGCCGTCGATATCGAAGCCACCACCACCAAACAAGCAAATCCCACACCACCGCCTCAGCCAACCCACACCATCACAAACAAAACCGAAAACATCCCACCACCACCAAAGCCCAAGGAGAACATAACGACCCACACAACCAGTTCCCGCAGCCGAGACCACAACACCGCCACCATCCAAAGACAACCCAGGGAACCAAGATCACCAAAAACAAACTTCATCCTTACATCCAAGCCAAATGACAGTAGAACCACAGGCAATAAGCCAAATCCACCGAATCACTGCGACATTCTGAGTGAAGCAAGGAGGAAAGCTCTAAAAGTCAAGAAGAAGGATGTAGATTTCCAAAGCAATCCCCTCTGAACGCCGAAACGGACTTCAAGATATGAGCATATATATGAAGTGTGGAAGAGTAACCATCTCTAAAGAGAGGTTAATGGAAAACTCCACAAGGGAAAGCAAAAAAGCTAAACTAGAAAAATCCACAGAGGGATTGTCAAAAGAAGGAGCAGAAGGAAAATGAAGAGAAAGAAAAGGGGGTGGGTTGCCGCCGGTCACCCATATGTGAAGCCGGCGACTCCCCAGGTGGAAAACTGTAGAGAGTTGAGAGCATTTGAAAATTGACAAATTAGAGAGAGAAGTTAATGAAAAATTATCCAAATCTACCATCCTACTTTCACTCTCATGGCTGGAAATTTGAAATACTGAAAAAATGCTCCCAACTCTGCTATAATATATTTTTAGATTTAATGAAAAACATTAC